CGTCTCAGTGTTAGCACGTCATGGAGAACAATATCATCATCCCTCAGTGGAAGTAGGTCAGATCACCAAGGACCGATATCTGTGACCCAGCCATCCAACCAACCATAAAACCAAACAGCCATCCAACTAACCAACCATCCCACCAAACATCCAAACAACCAACCAGGCAGCTTTCCAACCAACCATCCCACCAACCATCCAACAAATCAGGCAGCCATCCAACCAACCAGCAATCCAACCAACCATAAAACCAACCAGCCATCCAACTAAACACCCATCCCACCAACCATCCAACCAACCAGGCAGCCATCCAACCAACCAGGCAGCCATCCAACCAACCAGCCAGCCAACTAACCAACCAACCAGGCAGCTATCCAACCAACCAGGCAGCCATCCAACCAACCAGCCAGCCAACTAACCACCCATCCCACCAACCATCCAACCAACCAGGCAGCCATCCAACCAACCAGGCAGCCATCCAACCAACCAGCCAGCCAACTAACCAACCAGGCAGCCATCCAACCAACCAGGCAGCCATCCAACCAACCAGGCAGCCATCCAACCAACCAGGCAGCCATCCAACCAACCAGGCAGCCATCCAACCAACCAGCCAGTCAGCCATCCAACCAACCAGCCAGTCAGCCATCCAACCAACCAGGCAGCCATCCAATCAACCAGGCAGCCATCCAACCAACCAAGCAGGCAGCCATCCAACCAACCAGCCAGTCAGCCATCCAACCAACCAGCCAGTCAACTAACCACCCATCCCATCAACCATCCATCCAACCAACCAGCCAGTCAGCCATCCAACCAACCAGCCAGTCTGCCATCCAACCAACCAGCCAGTCAGCCATCCAACCAACCAGCCAGTCAGCCATCCAACCAACCAGCCAGTCAACTAACCACCCATCCCATCAACCATCCATCCAACCAACCTGAGTGAGACAGACATACACGTCTGCCATTGCATATTATCACGTGATCTAACTGCCTAAGAAAGGCAAGAGGAGTTTTCACAGCACTAGGGCATTTGTGGAAGTCAAAGGACAATTGAAATTAATACTAAACTTAAAATTTGTAAAATTCCCATGTCAAATCATTAATTTTGTATGGAGAGGAAACGTGCAGAACAACTAAGGAAATTACTAATAAACTACAAACATTCATTAACTGGTGCCTGCGTAAACAGAGAAAAGTAAATGGTATGAATTTGAATTTGAATGAATTTCTACCCGACCAGGACATCACACAAGCGATAAACACCCGATGACACAAAGTGCCACCATGTGGATGAGGATCACCGTGGAGAGGTCCCAGAAACCGCGTTCAGACAATTGGCCATATTTATGGCCTGCCTATATTGCGGCCCCTGGCAAAAGCCAGAGTGGGGCTTCTAATAACAAAAAATTACGTCCTAAAAACGACGTAAGGTTAAGAAAGCGCTAGAAAATGGTATGACAGAATCACTAATTTAGAGCATTGGGAGAAAACCAAACAAGTTCTAGTGGACTAATAGGTGAAGTCAAGACGTTGGTGTTGGATAGGACACATGCTGAGAAACCTTTAGAACAGTATAACTAGAATGTCTTTGCACTAGAACACACAGGGACATATAAATAAAGGCAGACCCCCCCCCCCTCCCCCACCTAAAACAAAAATACACACATGGAGAAGGGAGGCTACAGAGTGGAGTTAAAAAGATGTACAGGACGAGGGGGAGGGGGGGGGGAGTGCCTGCAATAGTGGGTGATAGAACGGTTTGGCGTGAGTTGGTTCAGGGGGATAGAAGACAGAAGAAGAAGACTGCAGGGCCAGAATAAGAATCTCTCTCTCTCTCTCTCTCTCTCTCTCTCTCTCTCTCTCTCTCTCTAACTCTCTCTCTAACCCTCTCTCTCTCTCTCTCTCTCACACTCACTGTCTCTTTCGTTCACTCTCGCCTGTCCATCCGTCTCCCCCCCCCCCCCCCCTCTTTTTTTTCGAGACAGTGCACTGTTTCCCTAGTTCCGCATGCTCAAGTTGGACAATCTGCCAGAGCTGAGGTTCATCTTAGACTTGGGCACTGTCAGCAGCAACTCCTTCTCGCCACCGATGAACTTGGTGAAGGCTCTGGACGCCCGCTGTCTCTGCTTCTCTGCAATAATCTCCTTCTCGCGCAACTGGGAATAATAGAAGAAGTTGTAATTTTTTAGTTTTCATCTTGAATTTTCCCCAAAAGAAAGATGTCAGAAAACGTTAATTCAAAAACACAAAATGACATTACAAAAGCAAGACAACGTGTTTCTTTAACTATTCAAGATCACATTGTTTTAAAGCTTTAGCTCTAGATAGAACAATGACTACAGGAATTCTTCACCATCACAAACTCAGGTATTTAAAGCTATAGTTACGATATCTAGCTAGAAATAAGATTGAAGAATTTCCGCAGCTACTTACAATCACATATTTTCAGAACTAGCGTGTTTGTCTCTAGCTAGAAATATGGCTAGAGCATTTCTGCAACTATATTCAATGTCACATATTTTAAGAACTAGCGTGTCTTTCTCTAACTAGAAATATGGCTGCAGCATTTCTCCAGCTATATACAACCACATATTTTCAGAATTAACGTGACTCTCTCTAAAGAGAAATATGGCTGCAGAATTTCGGCAGCTATATACAATCATGCATTTTAAGAACTAGCGTGTCTGTCTCTAGCTAGAAATAAGGCTGCAGAGTTTCTACAGCTACATACAATCACATATTTTCAGAATTAGCGCGTCTGTCTCTAGCTACAAATTACAAGGAGCTCACGATGTGTTTGAACTAAGTTTGTGTCAGCGTGTGCGCGCGTGTGTGCGCGTGTTTGTTTTATGTTTGTACGTTAGTGTGTGTTTATGTGTGCTTGTTCTACGCTTGTGAAAGCGTGTGTTTGTTCTATGGTTGTGTGAGTATGTGTGAATGTGTTTTTTTTTCTATGTTCGCGAGAGTGTATGTGTATGCGTTTTTGTTCTATGTTTGTGTGAGGATATGTGTATGTGTATTTGTTCTATGTTTGTGTGAGTATGTGTGTTTGTTCTATGTTTGTGTGAGTATGTGTGTTTGTTCTATGTTTGTGTGAGCATGAGAGAATGTTGGTTTGTTCTATGTTTGTGTGAGTATGTGTGTTTACGAATAGCTAGAACAGATAAGACTAAAAAATTCAGTCAGTTGGTTACTGAATTCCTTTTTCCAAGGGTACCACTGTGTGTTCCTTGTCCGCTGGCACTAAAATCTCAATGATCCATCTTTCATCAAACTAGGTAGAGGACTTTATGCCTCTACCTCTACGTGTATGGGTTCTGACTCCCCCCCCCCACCCCCCCCCCCCCCCCCACCTTCGCATTTTGCAGCTACAACGTTGTTAGACGTCTTGGATCCCCCACCATTTCAATACAAAACCGGAAACAGTGCCCTAAATCCGCATGCTCTTGCTGGACACTCTGCAGGTGGTTCGGGGCACCCTGGAGTTAACTATCTATATTATATCTATCGAAAGAAGAAGAAAGAATGCACTCACACTCACCGCTTCAGCCTGCGTAGCAACCCAGTTGTTCTTGCCCTCGATGCAGTAAGTGACCAGGCACAGGACACAGAAAGATCCGATTCCTGTGATGATAGCTATGATGACTTGTGCCTGTTTGGCTGCGGAAGGTAAGAGAAAGCAGCTGTGATGCCTGAAACCGGCCGACACTTGTGTAAGTGTATGGCGCTCAACACGGAGCAGTCCCTGGCATTACAGAGTGTAGCTCAGTTTAAATACCCAGCTCTACAGGATTCGAACCTAGGACAACAAACTCGCATACAAAAGTGCTAACAGTTTTATAGTAACAACACTCACAGACAAAAGTGCTAACAATTTCATAGTAACAACACTCATTTACAAAAGTGCTAGCAGTTTTCTAGTAACAAGACTCACGTGTGATAGTGCTATAACAACTGCGTCAGCATGGTTCTCCAGACTCACATGTGATAGTGCTATAAACACTGCGTCAGAATGGTTTTTCAGTAACAACACACACGTGTGATAGTGCTAAAACAACTGCGTCAGCATGGATTTTAAGTAATAAATGCTATAACTAATGCGTCAGCGTGGTTTTCCAGTAACAAGACTCACATGTGATAGTGCTATAACAACTGCGTCAGCATGGTTTTCCAGACTCACATGTGATAGTACCATAACCACTGCGTCAGAATGGTTTTCCAGTAACAACACACACGTGTGATAGTGCTATAACAACTGCGTCACCAAGGTTTTCTAGTAACAAGACTCACATGTGACAGTGCTATAACAACTGCGTCAGCATTGTTTTCTAGTAGCAAGACTTACTTGTGATAGTGCTATAACCACTGCGTCAGAATGGGTTTTCAGTAACAACAAGCACACAACGTTTGTCGAATACCCTTATATTGCTATAGATATTGTATTCTTCTTCTTCTTAGCTTTCACAGGCCTAAAACTCGGGTGCAAATTTTAGGTTTTATTCTGCATTTTAGACTAGTTCCAGATCTTAAGTGCTCATATGTTTTACAAATCTGGGTTTATTTGTATGCATACGGTTGGTTGCTTGCCTCTCAGGCAGATGCGTTCAGATTTTAAAGGAAACAGTTTCATTAATCGACGTTTTCAACGTGCTTGTTAGAGGGCCGGTGGGAAGGGTCCCCCCCCCCCACGTAAAAAGGGGCCCCAGAGCCCCACAGGGAATACCGTGCTATGTGTGTTCTTAACACTAACTGGCACTCAATTCTGGACCTGGCTCCCTTCGTGCCGACCGCCTTGACTTCCTTCGACATTTTATGGTAACCATTTTAAGTTGGTGGAGCTGGGAGCCCTAAGTCAATTACAGAAATGTCCCTTCGGTGCGGGTTCGAACTTAAGTGCTTCGGGTGGGCAGGCGAGCGAATAGCCACCGCGCTGCCGGGGCGGTCAACAACAGTAGCTCTGCCCCCCCCCACCCCCCTAGGCCACAGCCTCAACCAGGTACTCACAGATGGGCAGTCCCTGGCACATGGACTCGTCACAGTCCTTGAGGCAGCCGCAGTCGTTCTGCCCGTCACACCGGTAGGACATGCTGTGACATTCCATGTTCCTGCAGGCAAACTCGTAGGACCGGCAGCCTGGGGAGGACAGGAAGGACATCCGGCAACATTGTCAGGTTCTCAAACTGCGCCCTCTGCTGGCCCTGGAAATATTGTGCGTGCACACGCACGAACACGCACACACACACAAGCACGCACACAAACACACACGGACACCCTAACACACGCGCGCGGACACATACACACACGCATACATATTTCTCTTCACCGCTTTTTACTGTCATTCCCTCTCTCTCTTTCTCTATCTTTCTTTCTCTCTCTTTCTCTATCTTTCTTTCCCTCTCTTTATCTTTCTCTCTCTCTCTCTCTCTCTCTCTCTCTCTCTCTCTCTTTGTGTGTCTTTCTTTCTCTCTTTCTCTATCTTTCCTTCTCTCTCTTTATCTTTCTTATCTTTTTTTCTCTATCTTTCTTTATCTATCTATCTATCTATCTATCTATCTATCTATCTATCTATCTATCTATCTATCTATCTATCTATCTATCTATCTATCTATCTATCTATCTATCTATCTATCTATCTATCTATCTATCTATCTATCTATCTATCTATCTATCTATCTGTCTGTCTGTCTGTCTGTCTGTCTGTCTGTCTGTCTGTCTGTCTGTCTGTCTGTCTGTCTGTCTGTCTGTCTGTCTGTCTGTCTGTCTGTCTGTCTGACTGTCACTCTCTCTATCCCTATATCTATTTATATCTATCTCTATTTCTCTGTAACTGTCTCCCTACCTGTCTCTCTCTCTAGCTCTCTCTCTCTCTCTCTCTCTCTCTCTCTCTCTCTCTCTCTCTCCCTCCCTCCCTCTCTCCTTGTCAAGTGACAGTAAACACAGGTTTGTTACTAAAGAAACTTAGATGACCTTATTAAACCCTCCCCCCCCCCCCCCCCCGCCACTTTTTTTTCCACCACTCCCAACTCCCATTCTGCTAGCTATGACCCTTTGGACCAGATTTCAGTGGACCCTGAATAACCAACCGGTGGCAAAGGTAAACACAGCAGCGGGTAACCAACATAACCGGGCCAACTTGTGTTGTGTAGTGCAGGAGCTAATCAATGTATATATTAATGAGTATCACACAGTAATGAACAAGAGAATGCAGGACACATCGAGCTAGCGCAAGTACACGCTAGTAATGATTACATTAGCTAGTGAAAAACAATGTGATAATTCATGCATTCACCACAGAAGAAATGAATGTATATGCTAATATGTACTATATATTGTGAACGCTTGACGGAATAAATAGTAACGCTACAGAATTCGTGAATTGAAGATTACTACAACGAAATAATGCCAATTATTACCTTAACATACCTTATCGCTAATTCTTTAATTAATGTAGAAAAGGGATGTTTAACCATTGAACTGACGATGATATGAACTTATGAGGACATAAACTAACGAGGACAAGAAGTAACGATGATTTTATGAACTTATGAGGACATGAACTAATGAGGACATAAACTAATGAGGACATGAACTAACGATGCTGGCAAAAACTAAAGAGGATGTCGAACTAATCAGAACATGAACTAATGACAAAATGAACTAATGAGGACGTGACCTAATCAGAACATAAACCAATGACAAAATGAACTAATGAGGACATACTTGCGTAAGGAACGGTCTCGTTCAAGCCTCTCGTCGAATCTGTGGATAGTGAGTGTATAAAAGAATGAATGGCGGAGACTGATCTATGTCATTTATTATCTAATTAGAACTTCTCAGACTAATTAAAATGAATTTGAAGCCCCACTCTGGATCTTGCCAGGGGCCGAATATAGGCAGGTCATCATTATGGCCCAAATGTCTGAATGCGGTTTCTGGGACCTACCTCCACGGTGATCCTCATCGCATCAAGCACTTTGTGTCATCGGTCGAATCGCTGTGTGATGTCCTGGTGGGGTAGAAATTCAGTCAGGAGACTGATCTATTGTCACATTTATCGTGCCCACAGTCAAGCTGTCAACTATATTCTGTCGGTGGCTCCATCTCTAGACGATATTTTTCGTAACGAAATTCTGCGACTCTACCTGTGTCCTAAACTAACCCCTTGCTGTAATAGAAGGTGCCTGTGTTTTAAACTAATCCCTTCTTGTATGAGAATGTGCCAATGTTCTAAACTAATCCTTTGTTGTAAGAGAATGTGCCAATGTTCTAAACTAATCCCTTCTTCTAAGATAATGTAACAATGTTCTAAACTAATCCCTTGTTGCATGAGAATGTGCCAATGTTCTAAACTAACCCCTTGTTGTAAGATAATGTAACAATGTTCTAAACTAATCCCTTGCTGTAATAGAATAGTCCAATGTTCTAAACTTACCCCTTGTTGTAAGAGAATGTACCAATGTTCTGAACTAATCCAATGTTCTGTGCCAATGTTCTAAAACATCCCTTTTGTAAGATAATGTAACAATGTTCTAAACTAACCCCTTGTTGTAAGATAATGTAACAATGTTCTAAACTAATCCCTTGTTGTAAGATAATGTAACAATGTTCTAAACTAACCCCTTGTTGTAAGAAAATGTACCAGTGTTCTAAACTAATCCTTCGTTGTAAGAGAATGTAACAATTTTCTAAACTAACCCATGCTGTAATAGAATATGCCAATATTCTAAACTAACCCCTTGTTTTAAGAGAATGTAACAATGTTCTAAACTAACCCCTTATTGTAAGAGAATGTACCAGTGTCCTAAACTAATCCCCTGTTGTAAGAGAATGTACCAATGTTCTAAAATAATCCCATTGTTGTAAGATAATGTAATATTGTTCGAAACTAATCCCCTGTTGTAAGAGAAAGAAACAATGTTCTAAACTAGCTCCCTTTTGTAAGATAATGTAACAAGGTCCCAATACTATCCGTCATTATAAGAGAGAGACCGGGAAATAGCTAACTTTTAAAACCACATCTAAACGAAGGAAGGCCTTAACCCTTGTAATCTTCAGCGTAGAAATAAGGTGCATTTTGAGTGGACCTGCTCATGTCTGTTTTGCGTACACTTCTTTATTTGTTTTGTCTCCTTGTGCTCGGGTCGGTTCTGTGGCTGAGTCTATGCGAACGCTTCGTAATGCCGGGATGCCAGACTCGATCCCAGCTGCCGGCCATGCGCCTTGCGTTGGTTTTGACATTGGTATCAAGAAAGCCGACCGTCCAGGAGCAATGGCAAACTAATAGACGTAAATTTGCCTATAAAAACCACACAACAGCCAGGGGCTATTGTGGTTGGTTCTGCAACGTCCTGTAAAGGATATGCAACTAAACTTGTGACAACATTTGTCGGCCCGGGGTGAATCATCACAGCTGTTTTAGCGGATTCACTAGGGACGTAACAAATAATAGCACTAGAAACTGGCGAGTGCCTCGTTAATGCAGTGGGTACAACTATTTGGCTACAAAATCCTAGGCGTGTCTAAGCAAAGAAGATGGGCGCGACTCACTGTAAATGGCCGAGAACTGGATCAGCAAAGGCCTGCCTGTGGTGTTGAGGCGGTCAGACTTGAACTTGATCCAAAACCAACGCGACTGTGAGGTCATCTGCAGGTTAGTCACCTTGTCACAGTAAACACCCTCCAGGGCGGATCTTTGGCTTCCGTGGCGAATCTAAAGGCAACAGTCAGCACAGGTTTGGTCATGTCTGTCTTGTCTGTCTGTCTGTCTGAATGTAGGTCTGTATGTGTGTCTATCCGCCTGCCTGACTGTCTGTCTGTCTATCCGCCCACCTGCATGACTCTACGTATGTCTGTCTTCTACCTCCCTTCCAATCTATGTCTGAATGGATGTATGTCTATTTGTCTATCAGCCCGTATGTCTGTCTCTCTATCTGTCTATCTGACTGTCTGTATGTCTGTCTGTTGACTAAGTCGGTAAGCAACGGTAGGCAGTACCGGCACCCTTTGTTTTAGCCCTATTGTAAAAGACACACTGAATAGAGTATCGGCACCTTTTTAGACACTCTGAAGTCAACAGCCTTTTCCTCCTAGAAACAAAGCCCTTTGTTTTCTGTCTGTCTATCTGTCTATACGTCTCTCTGTCCGTCTGCCTGTCTGTTGGTATATCTGCCTGTCTTTCTCTGTGTTAATCTATCTGTTCGATTGCCTCTTGTCCTACAGTCGGCGATTGTGGCTTAAGCGTTTTGAACTCGCTTCGTAATGCCGGGATGCCAGGTTCGATCCCAGTTGCGGACGATTTGTCTTGCGTTGATTTCGACAGTGGTACAGAGAGCTAACCGCTCAGGAAGCAATGGCAAACTACTGAGCGTTAAATTTACCTAGAAAAACAACGACAGAAAAAAAACATGATATGGTCGGTTCTGCAACGTCCTGTAAAGGATTCGCAACTAACTTGTTAACTGTCCTAACAATATGTTTGCTTACTTTTTGCTTGCCTGTCTGTCTACTGTGCTACCGATAAATATGTTTGCATCGTGGCCTGCCTATCTGTCTGTCTACCGCTCTGACCATAAGTCTGTCTGCATGCCTGCCTGCCTGTCTGTCTCCCGTGCTACCGATAAATCTGAAGCCTGCCTGAAAATCCATAAAGGAAAGACAAAGATAATGAGAATAAATCAGGCAAAAAGTATGGTGGTTTTTTTTTAATGGCACCCCGCTCCAAGAAGTGGAGTCGTACACTCATTTGGGCAGTAATGTAGATAGATGGAGGAACTGATAGAGATATTAAAATAAGAATACAAAAGGCAAGAGGAGCTTTCATAGCACTAGGGAATTTGTGGAGGTCAAAAGAAATTGAAAAAATACTAAACTAAAAATTTTTAATTGTTGTGTCAAATCAGTACTTTTGTATGGGGCGGAAACATAGAGAACAACTAAGGCAGTTAATAAAAGACTACAAACATTCGTTAACTGGTGCCTGCGCAGAATATAAGAAATCAAATGGTATAATTTAAAAACTAATGTAGAGCTTTTGGAGAGAACTAAACAGGTTCCAGTGGACCAAGAGGTGAGGAAAAGACGCTGGAGTTGGATAGGACACACACTGAGAAAACAGGAGAACAGCATAACTATAATATCTTTGCATTGGAACCCACAGGGGCATAGAAATAAAGGAAGGCTAAAAAACACATGGAGAAGAGAGCTGGAGAATGAAGTTAGAAATATGGGGAGGACATGGGGAGAGCTCAATGTAATGGCGAAGGATAGAACGACTTGGCGTGAGTTGGTTGAGGGCCTATGATCCATTGGGGGATAGAAAGGCAGAAGAAGAAGAAGTAGAAGCCTGCCTGCCTGTCTGTTTGCCGTGCTGTTCATAAATCTGTCCGCATGTCTGCCATTCTGTCGGTGTCTACCACTCTGGTCATAAGTCTGTCTGCATGCCTGCCTGTCTGTCTCTCGTGCTACCGATAAATCTGTCTGCATGCCTGCCTGACTGTCTCCCGTGCTACCGATAAATCTGTCGGCATGCCTGCCTGCCTGACTGTCTCCAGTGCTACCGATAAATCTGTCTGCATGCCTGCCTGACTGTCTCCCGTGCTACCGATAAATCTGTCGGCATGCCTGCCTACCTGACTGTCTCCCGTGCTACCGATAAATCTGTCTGCATGCCTGCCTCCCTGTCTGTCTCCCATGCTACTGATAAATCTGTCTGAAGCCTGTCTGTCTGTCTGCCGTGCTATTCATAAATCTGTCCGCATGTCTGCCAATTTGTCTGTGTCTACCGCTCTGGCCATAAATCTGTCTGCATGCCTGCCTGTCTGTCTGCCATGCTCTTCATAAATCTGTCTGCATGCCTGCCAGTCTGTCTGCCATGCTCTTCATAAATCTGTCTGCATACCTGCCTGTCTGTCTGCCATGCTCTTCATAAATCTGTCCGCATGCCTGCCAGTCTGACTTGTCATGCACCCGACCACCCTGCAGCCTACCTCGATGTAATCGGAGCAGACATTTTTGTATCTCTCGCCCTCGAAGTTGACAATCAGGTGCAGGCTGTGGTTCTGTGGGGCCTCGATCAGCCAGATGCAGAAGCTGTTCTCGGGATAACCCTCCGGGTAGTTGGGGCTAACGATGTGGCCCACATCGCTGTGATCTAACGCGTAAAAGTCTCCACATTCTGACCACATGAACAGATCAGCCGCATCCATGTTAGTTAGAGTATTGTTGTTGTTGTTCTTTTTCTTCTTCTTCTTTTTCTTCTTCTTCTTCTTCTTCTTCTTCTTCTTCTTCTTCTTCTTCTTCTTCTTCTTCTTCTTCTTCTTCTTCTTCTTCTTCTTCTTCTTCTTTTTCTTCTTCTTCTCCGCCTTTACCAGCTGTAAACTCCAGCGGAAAATTCTGGCTGCTCGTCCACTTCTCGACTTTGGGTTTGTCACAAAACTTTACTTTTGTGTGCACATCCGCGTTCTTTGTTTGCAGACTGTTTCACTTCACTTTTGAACGACAAGAAAAATTAAATCAGTTACTTAGTCGGTTAGTCGGGGTTCTAATATCGCTGCAGGCGGGAAAAATGGAATCAGTTACTTAGTCAGATAGTTGAGGTTATAATATCGCTGCAGACGGGGAAAATGGAATCAGGTACTTAGTGGGAGTTCTTATATCGCTGCAGACGGGGAAAATAGAATCAGTTTCTTGGTAAGATAGCTGAGTTTCTAATATCGCTGCAGACGGGAGAATGGAATCAGTTAATTAGTCAGATAGTGGAGGTTCTTATATCGCTGCAGACGGGAAAAAAATAGAATCAGTTACTTAGTCAGATAGTTGAGGTTATAATATCGCTGCAGACGGGAAAATGGAATCAGTTAATTAGTCAGATAGTGGAGTTTCTTATATCGCTGCAGACGGGAAAATGGAATCAGTTAATTAGTCAGATAGTGGAGTTTCTTAAATCGCTGCAGACGGGAAAAAATAGAATCGGTTACTTAGTTAATGGAGGTTATTATATCCTTGCAGACGGGGAAAATTGAATCAGTTACTTAGTCAGTTAGCGGAGGTTCTAATATCGCTGCAGACGGGGAAAATTGAATCAGTTACTTAGTCAGATAGTGGAGGTTCATATATCGTTGCAGACGGATCACCCTATAAACGCCTCGATCCTATGCCAGAGGAAATAAAATCGCCTGCACTGTCCTATTTGAAAACAGTGCAACCAGCCAACTCTTGAAAAGTTAGTTAGTTAACAGATTATCCTCATTGCACATCGAACAATTCAGTCCATAAGTGCTCAGATCCCCTCCTTAGTAAATCCTGCTACGTGTAGCGGCTGACGACACCAGTTCTGTGTTAGTTTCTTATTCTTCCATGGCTTCCTGCATAGTGCTCTTGTCTGGCCACGCACCTTTTAACATGTTGTTCTTGCAGTCTGGTCATTGAAACGTTCACACACAAAGTAAAAAAAAAAATGAGTGAGCAGCTGTCAGATGTGCCCACATTAACGGTCACACACCAGAATTGTAGCGGACTGTTGACGCAAACTGTCAATAACCAAAGTCGCCAAAGTACACGCAGTTCTAGGCGTCATCGGCCACCTGCCATTCTAATCCAGTCAACAACACACCGTGAGCATACACAATCCACATCTCACTGTGTTGCAGCAAGAACTAAACTCAGTAGCTGGGCGAGGGAACCTTTGGACCTCTGGTCCAGAATTTGGGAATTTGCAGCAGCCAAACCTAGCTAAAAACATACGTCGTTTCAGAGCGTCAGCAGCGAGCAGGCTGACGGCCATTTGTAAAATGTGAGGGGTAAAACATGTATCAGTGGATATGACTACTCCACCCCCCCCCCCCCCCCGAATGAAGCAGACAGTACGCATTGATAACAAACCCAACAATGACTCTATATCTATGGCGGATTCCTTTAATTAATTTTACATCTTGTTTCTTGAATGTCTGTCTCAATTCATTTTTGTTTTTATTTCTGTCACCTCGTTGTGTTTTTCTGGCACAATCTACCCTTGTGTAGTCATGCACATGTTGTGAAGTCGGTAGCCGATTATTTACAAGAATAACAACTATCAAGAAATACCTGTCACGTCATTGCGTAAGGTCAGGCCTATTCAACTGTCATCCCGTGGTTTGAATCCGGGCCCGCGCACGCCTAGCAAGTGGCACGCGGATCATAACCACTTGTTTATATTATTGATTTTTTACGGTAGGTCACCGGCCTCTGGCTATTTTTAATTTTTTGGCCGCAAATTAAACTTGATAAACCCTTCTATACAAGATGATAGTCCTATATCTGAGGAAAACTCGACATTCCATGGCTGATGTGCTAGTATCATCCCGGTCGTCATTATGTCTCCAGAGAAATCCAACTACCAGTTTGAGACTCGGTCGATCTACAGAAAGTAAAGGACCCTTTTCCACCCCTTTAGGAGTATAGGGCATATAGGGCTAGACCTATATTTTATAGACCAATCGGAAAGATAAGTGATGTGTCAGCATCACGCCGGCCACCTTTACTTTCCGGGACTGCACCCGGTACCCACTCAAGGCTGGGTTGACCTGGAAGCCAAAGTTATTTCTGAAAAAAGTCCGGCTTCGCCAGGGAGCGAACCCACGACCTTCCGATCTGCGGCGAGTGTCTAGCCGCTCCGCCACGCGACTCCAGATCTACAGAAAAGGGAAATAAATGAGTTGGGCTCCAGGCGGGATTGAATCACACGAACACTGGGCTAACAGGCATGCTCGAGATAACTAGCTGGCAAATCAAGTGATAATTAATTACTTCATACCTGATTGGGCCGCAACATTTGTGTACAGCAGGAAACAAGTCACTGAAATAATAATAATTATTATTTTTATTATTTTCTTATTATTATTATTATGTGAATGTTGTTGTTGGTTATAACCTTTGGTTGTTAAAACCAAGAATACGAGAGAATAGTTTCAAAATAATCGTAAGTATAATAAATAACATAGTAAATATTATTTTTTTTTTAGGGGGGGGGGGGGGGGTTTGCTGTTGGAGGATCAATATGTTACTATTTAAGACGTAAATCGCCGCACGACAATTCCCGTGTGGGAAGAGCTCCACCCCCCCCCCCCCAAAAAAAAAAAAACTACTATGTCCTAAAATGCGACTAATCAGGGTGTTTTCTTAAAAGTCGGAGAGAGCATCTGCCTTCAGGTGAGGACTAAACCTTTCCATACAAATAAGCTAGATCTGTAAAACGGATGTGCACGCAAACTCAATTATTTATTTCATGTATTTCAAAGGTTTGTGAACACAAATGTGGGTACCTATCACGAGAGTCACCCCATCTCGCTCGCACGTGAGATTTCGTGCCGGCTTCCATTCATGTCGTGCCAGTTCCACTGGCTGTCCTATATTCTAGGGGTGTTGTGAGATTTCTTCTTTTGTTGTCTATACACAGTGCACCGAAAAATTACTGACGTTCATTCAACGAGGTCAACATACAGTCTCCCACACGCAACTGCACAGCTTTCTTTCTGCTATTGTCTTTTGTGAGAATGAGCGTTATTTCTGGGATGTGTTGTTGTTAGTGGAATGTGCTATTGCTGTGAATAGGTCAGGAACCTGTGTAGATAAAAGAAGTACGAACGTGGGGGCGCAAAAGGCGTGACTGCTCGTGAGTATCAAGTCATTACTGTTTTTGTATTTTTACACTGGGTTACAGTGGCTGTCGACAGTGACAGATATGCTTAAAATCTTCAAATCAAGCACAACCTGACACCCCTAGAAAATAGGACAGCCTGTGGGAAATTGCACGTCCTAAATGGGAGCTGTCAGGAATTCTCGAGCACAAGCGAGGTAGGGTGACTCTCGTGATAAGTACCCAAATTTGTTCCACATACCAGTATTTCCCGTGCACATTATGTTAAGAAAATGCAAACACACACACACACTTATGCTCAAGCGATGTATGCATCTCGGTGTGAGTGGGAGAAATGGAAGAAGCAGCAGCAGGACAAGACTGTTGAGTACTGCAGTCTTGTGCACATGTAAGCTTTTGAAGGTGGTTATATGTAGAGCAATAAAATGATCAACTCCAGTCGGCTTGACAAATCATGTTGATGATGATGAATAAAACAGACAGACCGTGAGCTGAACAGAAGAACATACGAATAAAATTGAATAAAATGTCGGAAGTAAAGACGACTCGGCCAGACTGAACAGCATATATCAGATGAAAGAAAGAAATATAGAAATATAGAAAGAATGAAATATCTTCTTCCTCTTCTTCTTCTTTCCTCTACTCCTGGAATGTCTCGCGGCGTCAGGGCAGGAAGAGATCTTTGGAATGGGTCCTTCTGTTCGCTTCGTATAGACTATTTATCAGTGTCTCTGATATTTCTTCGGATCCTATTCTGCGTGGTCGACCTCTTGGCCTGATACCACTGTATCTGTATAAAATTGTTCTCTGTGGTGCCCTGTCTGATGTCAGTCTTGTTACATGACCAAACCATTTGATTTGTTGTCTACCTATAAAGTTCAGTATTGGTTCTGTGCAGATTCTCCTCCTGATATCATCGTTCCTACGTCGATCTTTCCTCGTTACACTTAACACGGTACATACCATTTCATTTCTGCCGTGACTATTTTCATTTTGTCTTCAATTAAAGATCACAAGCTAAGAACTGCAATACAAGACAGACAGGCTGACAGACATTTCAGCAGCAACATTAAAGTAACACTTACCAACGAAGATATTCTTCGATGAAATCATAGTCAGAGATTACAGAGATTATTCGCTCCGCTGTATCTTGCCCCAATGCTTGATGAGCTGTTCATGAAAAGATTATAAAAATATTCACGTCTACTATCTGTCTTTCAGAGCTATTCAATTTGTAAGATTTACCAAATATATTGATGCTAAAAACATCTCTCTCATTTCTGCTATGGTACACATTTTTGTTACACTTTCCTACCGGTGTATTGCTATTAGGTTCCAATCCTATTTTTAGCTGTGACTTATTCTCTCTCTCTCTTCTCTCTCTCTCTCTCTCTCTCTCTCTCTCTCTCTCTCTCTCTCCCTCTCTCTTTCCCTCGCTCTCTGTCTCTCTCTCCCTCACCCTCTCTCTCTCCCTCCCCCTCTCTCTCCCTCCCCCCCCCCTCTCTCTCTCGCTCTCTCTCTCTCTCTCCCCCCTAATCTCTCTTCCCTCCCTCTCTCTCTCCCTCGCTCTATGTCTCTGTCTCCCTCCCCCCTCTCTCTCCCCCCCTCTCTCTCCTCTCTTTCTCTCTCTCTCTCTCTCGCTCTCTCTCTCTCTCTCTCTCTCTCTCTCTCTCTCTCTCTCTCTCTAGGCTTCCAGGTCTACAAAGTTTAAAACTAGATTCGTCTCCTTCTTCTTTACATGCCTCTCTTCTTTGTCTTCGTCCTGTTCCTCCAACTTATTCTTCTTTTTCCTCTTCTTCTTCTTCTTCTTCTTCTTCTTCTTCTTCTTCTTCTTCTTCTTCTTCTTCTTCTTCTTCTTCTTCTTCTTCTTCTTCTTCTTCTTCTTCTTCTTCTTCTTCTTCTTCTTCTTCCTTCTTCTTCTTCTTCTTCTTCTTCTTCTTCTTCTTCTTCTTCTTCTTCTTCTTCTTCTTCTTCTTCTTCTTCTTCTTCTTCTTCTTCTTTCTTCTTCTTCTTCTTCTTCTTCTTCTTCTTCTTCTTCTTCTTCTTCTTCTTCTTCTTCTTCTTCTTCCTCCTCCTCTTCCTCCTGTCCCTATTCTTCAGTTGTATAATATGGAGTGTGAAGATTAGCTTAGCTATCGCATTCTTTCTAATCCTGCATCTCTCAATATTTTATTGTATGGTTGTGGCACTGGTTCAGACTTTCGCATACATTTTTCTCGGCCATTCTCTGCTCCCTGTCATTATTGTTATAATTATCTTTATCATTATCATTATCATTATCCTCATCATCAGTATTATTATAACACGCCTTCGTTACCTACCATTTGAGTTTGAACAATCCGTCGTGTACATGCGCGCATCTTTGGAGATCAAATATATTATAAAAAGTACCGTTACTTCATAACCGTTCTGCAGCAGCGCTTTCTGGTGCGTGTTTTCTTTGTCTCTTTTGCTCATATTGTGCTTTATGCGTTAAATGTGTTTTCAGGGAGGCCTCGATTTGGTACCCGTTTAGGAATGATAAGTCAGTTTCTTCTTCTTCTTTTTCTTCTTCTGCGTTCGACATCAGTCATGCTAAACATTGAGTCCCGTCTGGGTCACAAATAGGATTGTGCGTTTAAGGTCGCCACCGGTCCCCCATAGCTTCTCTTGCAATGTGGCTCCCTTGGGCCAGATCCACAGTCTTTGCTGGGAGAGGTAAGGGCAGTGCTGCACTGATAAGTCAGTGTTGGGGGGAAAGTTGATAGGGGGGGGGGGGGAGAAAGGAAGGTGTTGTGGGTGGTAGGACAATTCATTTTTTGTCGAGGGATGACGCTGCATTGCGTGCAAGCGGGGAGGTTGTTTGTATCTTATTCTCTCTTTGTGGGAACAGTAAAACTGTTCTTGTAGAATCGTACATCTATTTGACGAGGAAGTACGTTTTTATATACATCCGGGACATCATAGGGTCATGTGATTAGCAAACTAGTGGGTACCTGAGGTCTCAGTTACCTAAATAGTAAGGAGGCCGTGCCTAGATGGCGAGGCCGTGCCTAGATGGTGAAGAGACCATGCCTAGATGGTGAGAAGGCCGTGCCTGGATGGTGGGAAGGAGTGGTTAAATGGTGAAAAAGACGTGCCTAGATGGTGAGAGGGACGCGCCTTTATGGTGAGAAGGACGTGCTTAAATGGTGAAAAGGACGTGCCTTGGTGGTGAGAAGGACGTGCACAAATAATGAAAAGGACGTGCCTTGATGGTGAGAAGGACGTGCCTAGTTGGTGAGACGTACGTGTCTAGATGATGAGAAGAACGTGCCTAGATGTTGAGAAGTACGTGCCTAGATCGTGAGAAGGACGCGCCTATATGGTGAGAAGGACGTGCTTAAATGGTGAAAGAAGGACGTGCCTTGATGGTGATAAGGACGTGCTAAAATAGTAAGAAGTACGTGCCTAGATGGTGAGAAGGATGCGCCTAGCTGGTGAGAAGGACGTGCCTAGATGGTGAGAAGTACGTGCCTAGATGGTGAGAAGTACGTGCCTAGATGGTGAAAAGTACGTGCCTAGATGGTGAGAAGTACGAGCCTAGATGGTGAGAAGTACGTGCCTAGATAGTGAGAATTTGCCCCTGCCCCCCCCCCCCCCTTTTTTTTTCTTCGTGGTGACGCGCATGTCGGTCGATGAACTAAGTTACTAACTAAATGATATTATCAGACAGCCTGTAGGAACAACACCATACAGCGAATTCGTTGAGAAACAGAAGATCAAATGTTTTGATATTAGTGCGAATGCAGCCAAAACAACTATCAACGCAGGTGCTACACATGAACAGAACTGAAATGAAACCAAGAGGTCGCCCTGGGAAAAAATGGATTGATGACATTATTCATAGAGCTTCTACGTCGACATGCAATGACAAGAGCTATTGCTGTCCATCAAGCAATGGATCGAAAACTGTGTCCTCCATGTTGCTTAATGGGAAAAGTGGAAATTGATTGTGATGAGATGATTGATGATGATGATGATTGACCAACATATTTGAACCTTTTTATTTTTTTTTTTAGTCATAATATTTGTTTCGTTGTTACTGGAAACCAATTTGAAACAACCGAGAACTTCCAGTCTATCTTACATTGACCTTCACCAATCCATCATGGCGACCTGGAGATGTTCTCAGTTCGTAAGTGGAATTCGTCGTCGTTTCTTCATGTTGTTGTTGTATATTAATTATTATTCACACCACACGCTGCAGTAAACTGCTATAATTCTTAGATCACTGTTATATCAAATTATCTAAGTACTAATTTTTTTTGGTCAGCTCAACTGGACCGTCTTTTCATTGAGTTTGACTTTTCAGTTTATTTTGCAGCCGGTCTAACTAGTCAGTGTCCATATTCTATATCCACAGTTGTGTTGTAGCTTACATTTTATGATATAGATTAAAACGACATTTACCTGCAAGCAGTATCAATCACAGATGGTTGGTTACCTTAAACAGGTCTTGATTATCGAGATATTTGGGACTTTTTCAGTTTTATCAGTTTAAGCAGCCATTGTAGCTCTCAGTCTAAAAGTCACAGTTAGATAGCTGTCCATACCTCTAGGCTTGTATGTCATTTCTGACTGAGATATGTAGGTTTTTTGTAGCTTAGCCGCTTTTATGATATAGAGTTTTTTTACTGCGCAACCCTACTGCGCAGTTCTGTATCGCTTTGTTGACATTTACCTGCATTGGACAGATGGCAGGCAGTGAGACTAATCACTCAGATGGATTGCCCTAAAAAATGGTAAAATCTAGCCCGGGAAAAAAAATTTAAATGCAAATGTCTTGGACGGAGAATTCAATGTAACTAGAACTTTGTTTAAGCTATATTTACCGCTATTTTAATCAAATGATAGACTAACAGAAAGACAGAGAAGTTAGACATGCGCTGTTAATCGGGTTCCTTCCCGCCGTTTTCAGCTATTTAAGTGGGTTCACACCAATGGCAAAATTTCATTAGGACCCATCCCGAAACCCCAGCGACATTTCCGAAACAAAGTTTCTATGGCTCGAAAAGATAGCAAATTTCCGAAACTGTGGTTAGCATTGCTGCAAAGATTAGCTGTCAAGTTAGCATCAAATTGTGGACAACAAACTGTCACTGTCGGTCATTACTAAATATTCAGTGAAACAGTCAGTTTCAAGTTTCACCTTATTGACAATTTAATTTGCAGGTGTGAATAAATTTCACAGAAACCAAACATTGGCTCTATTTTGAACTTCCCCATAAAATGGCGGTCGTAATATGATGGCACATTCTGGCCATAAAATATTCTAAAATATCCGAACGGTGTTCACGTATATCTAAAATACGGACTTTCTGCCAAGGAACAAATCGCAGCAAAACTAGGATTACTTGACAATCAATATCAACATTGCACACGGTAGTAGCAGACGATAAATACCGACCGTTGACAATTTCGAGTGTTTCTGCAGACGATACTAGCAGTCGATATTAGCGACAGTTGACCAATTTCGAGACATTACAGACGATGAAAGCGATTAGCAATACTGTGTTCTTCCGATTGGAGGATTTAGCAGCGGTAGATGTCAGACTTGTCGGCATGCGCAAAACGCGATTAAACTCATCGCTGAGCATATTCCCCGCGCCACTACACGCGTCGCGGATGGGGGACTAAACTAGGTGCCTGGGACTCACGAGTAAAGTAATTGGAGGAAGTTGCAGGAGATGTGATAGCTGCTGCTCGTGAGTCCCAGCCATATAGTTCAGTCCTCATCCGCGCGGCGCAGTGGATACGGTCGGTGGTGAGGGCACACTCGCAGAAGCAGGTCCGCAAGTAACGTATCGCTGAGACCCTGTTATAGCATTTGTTTCGTAATGCAGAACCGGCCCATATATTTTTAATAGAACTGAGCCCCGTTCGGATATTTTTGGATATTTTATGGCCAGAAATTGGCCAATTTAGCTCTCTTTCGAACGGCATCATATTACGGCTGCCATTTTATGGGGAAGTTCAAAGTAGAGCCCAAACATCAAATACAAAAGTTGTGAATAGATTTGACAGAAAAATAGTTGACAGAAGTTTTGGCTTTCCTCCGAACTTCAACCCGATATTATGGCGGCCATAAAATATCCTTTCGGGGCTCAGGCATTTCTGCCAAGGAACAAATCGCGGCAAAACTAGGACGCAACATTGCAGACGGTAATAGCGACTGTTGACAATTTCGAGCGTTTCTGCAGATGATAATAGCATGCGCAAAACGCGATTAAACTCGCTGCCGAGCGTATACCCCGCTATGCGCAGTGCAGATGGGGGGCTAAACTAGGTGCCTGGGGCTCAAAAGCAAATTAATTGAAGGAAGTTGCAGGGGATGCGGTAGCTGCTGCTCGTGAGTCCCAGCCATCTAGTTTAGTCCCTATCCACGACGTGCGTAGCGGCGCGGGGATACGGTCGGCAGTTAATCATAGTCACAGAAACAGGTCCGCAAGTAACATATAGCTAAAACCCTGTTAGAGCATTTGTTTCGTTATACGCAGCCGGCATATTTTTAATAGAACTGAGCCCCGTAAGGATATTTTATGGTCGCCATAATATCGGGTTGAAGTTTGGAGGAGAGCCGAAGTTTTATATAAACAAAAAAGACACATGAAATTTATATATTCCAACACACCCACCCCCACCCCCGCATTCATCCCCTCCAAGGGTCGGTTGAGTTGAACCTGAGGCAGGTGGTAGATGACACAAATAAGAAAATTAGAAAGATGGACAGTATGGTAGTCTCTGAGGGAGTACAGTACATATAACCGGGGTGAGACAAACAGTGTGTACTGGAAGTTGGTTATTTTTTCAGCCATCTTGAATGTAGAACCAGGGAACAGCCAGCTGAATTAACGTCATGCTGTGGTGAAGGAAACTGTTTCCTCTACTGTCGTCATGATCAGTTTGACAATCTTGACAAACACAACTTTTTTACTTGTTCTTCATTCATTATTACTGTGGCTAGTTTGTTATTTTGTATTTCTTTTCTCAGGTGCGCCAGTTCAGTTCTTCTGTTGCAAAAGCAGGTAAACTCGTACAGGTATGTCACATGAATGTTGTGGTCAAATTTAAATGTAATGCCTTTCAGTACTGCATAAATTATGTGCACGTAAATCATGTACACAGAACTTAATGGCAATTAATTGTTGCTTTGTGTCTGTGTCAGACATTTGTAATAAATTTCTCTTTATACAATGTGGGGGGGATAAGGAGGGGGGGGGGGTGAAGACAGTAAGGATAGAGACAGTGATACAAGTGGAAGGGAAGGGCAACATAAAGAAATAGGTGAACAGCAGATTGAGAGTGTACAACCAAGACAAGGGGACATTGCAACCAGCCTTCACTGGGGGGGGGGGGGGGGGGGGGGGGGGAATGGCACTTATTTATATTTGATATTTTGGGATCACACTTTGAATTAGCATGGAGGGTTGAGCCTCAACATCAGATCAAGGCCCACATTGTTCCCACAACGTTCTCTGTGTGGTTTCTGTGACCTTATTTTGGGGACAGACCAGAATATGCCACTGTCACACTTGCTAACGTATTGTACAGGGTGACTAATTGGAAGTTTTTCCTTCAGAGTCAGAGTGCTTTTCCCCTGGGAGATAAGGAACTAGCAGTCTGCATACAAACAATCCAGATCTGTAAAATGGATATGCATGCACAACTCGTTGTGGACAGCCAGCCAGAACTTTCTGCAGTAGTTGACAGCTTATGAACACTAACAAGAAGTTTGCACCATGGCAGTTGAGTGAACACTAGCAAGAAGTTTGCACTATGGCAGTTGAGTGAACACTAGCAAGAAGTTTTCACCATGGCAGTTGAGTGAACACTAACAAGAAGTTAGCACCATGGCAGTTGAGTGAACACTAACAAGAAGTTTGCACTATGGCAGTTGAGTGAACACTAACAAGAAGTTTGCACCATGGCAGTTGAGTGAACACTAACAAGAAGTTTGCACCATGGCAGTTGAGTCAGTTGAGTGAACACTAACAAGAAGTTTGCACCATGACAGTTGAGTCAGTTGGGTGAACACTAACAAGAAGTTTGCACCATAGCAGTTGAGTCAGTTAGGTGAACACTAACAAGAAGTTTGCACCATAGCAGTTGAGTCAGTTAGGTGAACACTAACAAGAAGTTTGCACCATAGCAATTGAGTCAGTTAGGTGAACACTAACAAGAAGTTTGCACCATAGCAGTTGAGTCAGTTAGGTGAACACTAACAAGAAGTTTGCACCATAGCAGTTGAGTCAGTTGGGTGAACACTAACAAGAAGTTTGCACCATGTCAGTTGAGTAAACACTAACCAGAAGTTTGCACCATGACAGTTGAGTCAGTTGTGTGAACACTAACAAGAAGTTTGCACCATGACAGTTGAGTCATGGGTTACCTTGGAGTAGTTGTTGATGCCTGAAGACTTGATGCCACCTCTGACAGTGTGACTTGTGTCAGCTGACTCACAGAGCTCCTGTCATTTCTTTTTCGTACGGCTTGGAATTTTTTAAGGTATGGGCCACTGCCTCAAAAAGCTTGTATGGCATTTAGTAGTTTCAAAATATAGTAATCAGGTAAATATGTCTGCATATACTGTTACAAGCTGTCTACCTGTGCTGTAATACCCTGACTGTTGTGGTTGTTCTCGTAAAAAAACAACTGGCTCTACTGTCCAGTTTTTTTATTGACACACAAGATTGTATCAGAGATGTGCACATTTTACAGTGATATTATGTGTAGTGTGGCCAGTATCTGCCCATACAGCCGTTTGACTTATAAACTGGCGTTAATTTTTAGTACAGATCTCTTCCATACTATAATGTCAAACTGTTTGGTAGTGATCATTTAAATGGTTATCAGATCAGCCCTTCTAGGCTATTACTGGGATATTTGTTTTTTCTGATATTAGATAGGGATTCTCAGTTGTGCTTTTATAACTTAAAACCATTTGCCTTGCGCGCTGAAAGTCATGTGTTCATTCACAGCTGCGTTGTTTAGTTCACGAGTGAATTTTTTACAGAGATTCTTGAGGATCGTTGACGGAGCTATGAAGTTTGGGCTTTGTGCACTGCAGTCGATCCTCTCGACTTTTAACTGTTTGATACATTTATACTAAATTTAAAGTTTAAACAGTTTTTAACTTGTACAGGCTGTGGGCTCGATGACTAGTCACACTTCTGATGACTTCGGTTGGTAGAATGTGTATAATGTACTTTGATCATTGTTAAATGTTTAGATAATCTACTGTGGTCTATATCACAGAGTCCCGTCCAGGTGTATGGGGTCGAGGGTCGATATGCTACAGCCTTGTATTCTGCAGCCTCCAAACAGAATAAACTTGAAGCTGTTGAAAAAGAGTTGACAACTTTGCAGGTATTTGACTTTTCACTCTCCCCCCATATAGCTTTGTCATATCTAATCTGTCATGATAGTGTAAAGAACCTTCACCAGACCTCAACGCAAGAGGAGGTCACTAAATAATCTGAAAATGAATGTGAAATTCTATGGAGTACATAATTAGTGAATTTGACCTTTATACAAAAGGTTGGATTTAAGGGGTTGAGGTTTTCTACAGAGATAGTCAGTCTTCTTATTTGCCTTTGCTTCTGTTAAGGACCTTGGTAACAGACAGGCACAGTTGAGTTCATAATTCAACACTAAGTTCACCTTCATCACTAGCATTTGGGGGTGTGGTTCTGAAGATGTCAGGCAATGACATCCTAGATTTATTTTCTAGCTTTGGTGAATCCTTTGGCACAATAAGACAATGGCTCGTAGAAATGTATACAATTTCAGATTCACTAGAACATACAAGTCTGACAAGATAGACACCCACTACATGCCTAATCAACAGTATGTGGGGAAATCTTCTTCTTCTTCGTGTTCACCAGCTGTACACTCTGGCTGAAAGTTCTGGTTGCTCGTCCATTACTGAACTGCAGTCCTGCTCCAGAACCTGAGTGTTCGTGTGCATCAGTTTTACAGATCTCATTCTCTTGAATACAGACTGTTGGTTCCTTGCCTCTCCGGCAGATGCACTCCGACTTCAAAGGAAGCTCCCCAATTAGACTTTTACGACATGCTTTTGGGGAGGCAGTGGGTCTATTCTTGTTTCCCCACAATGGGGCCCCAGAACCCACACAGGGGGAAAATATTATTCTATGTACTCTTTGTTGATGAGAGCAAATAGTTTATAAATATTTTTTTTAATGAATGAGTGTTTATTACCTCTAGTCACTGGGAGAGAGAAGGATTTTCACTAGCTGTAATTACATTTCTGGATTTAAAAGTCATTTTTGTTGCATTTACTAGTGTATTATTTTGTTATTTCCATTCTACCTGTGTGACAGTCCTGACATATGGGCAATGACAGCTCACATAAGCCAGCTTCAAATTTCAGAAATGAGTTATCTGAGAAAGGTCCAAAAGATAAGAAGGGACAACATTTGCACTCAGACAATACATCATGACCTTGAAACCCGGGCCTTACAAACTCGGATGAGTCAGTCACAGTTGAATGATTTGGTCATGTATGCAGAATGGGAGAGAATTGGCATGCAAGGGAAGCCAAGAACCAGTCCTCCAGGACGTCTCATTGTTTGCTGGGAAGACAACATCCGACAATCCCTGACTAACAGAGGACTGGGATTGAGCAAAACCATAAAGAAAACTGCCGCTGCAGATGTCTGGTGATCTCTGTGGCAAACCGCTACACCCCAGGTTGGAAGAGGGGGGACTAAGTAAGTTAAGTAAATTATTTTCCATTTGAGCAGTTTCCAACCAATTCGTGAGCTGCACTTGTCTGCTGGAAACTTTCCTAGAAGAGAACTAGTTCAGTTGTATAGGGAACTAGTAGATATAAAAACCTGTCAGCCTGCACACTGTGGAAGTAGCTGTTGCCTGCAGACGGCATTGGCTGCTAGACGGCCTGAGTTGCTTTGCTGCACACACACAAAAGCCACGTTCAAGCAACATCCCCGAAGGAGGAGCTTTGGGTTATAATTGTGACTAGGTTATGTACGCCATATAAAATGGCTTTGCTTTGCACGCCACCAGGAGCCCTCGAAAGGAATCCTGCAATGTTGATGTGATCAGAGGAGAAAGATCTAAATGCTGTCTTGACCGGCAACCAAGTTGTCTACCAGCGAGCCAATGGCTGACCTGGTCGCCGATGGGCCTGAGTTAGACAAGTCTTTATCATCATCAGCATCATATTGTATCAACTAGTAGCCTCACAAGGGAACTGTCTGTGATAAGGGCATTAGTGTGGCTTGGTACTCAACAGTGCATACACATGTATACATGCTTAGTGACTCAGTGAATATGCTCAACAAAACCCAGGCTGGTTTTATCAGATAAGAATTTGTAAGACTAAGCATTTCGCGTCTCCCCTAACCTTTATCTTTGTGCCAGGTCCTGCTAGTGTTCAAGAGAACGAGCGTGCAGATTATCATGCACACTGTGGTTGCTATGGCTGGTTCGGTACTGGACAGAAGCGATGTTATCAGTGCCTATGCAGCACTTGCCGTGATTGATAAGCACATAAAAGGGTATGACTCCATATCCCTGTCTAGGCTGGTGGACATAGGGGTGCAGCCTAGAACTGCAAGAAATAAACATACCACTAAGGGGACAAGATGTTTCATTCATCGAAACAGAACATGCATCATCAGCCATTTTACACTTGTGGAGCTTTTGAGACGGAGATTGGGACACCTCTGAATCTTTCCTGGGTGCTGTGATAATAATCCTTACTAATCACTAATTGCTGTACTGTGTCAGTACTTTGACTATTGTCTACAGAGAGCTGTGACTGCTACTGGGCCTGATCTAGAAGTCTATGTCAGGGCTATTCAACTGGTGGTCCGCGGGACAAATCTGGCCCATGGAGGCCTAGTAAGTGGCCCGCCGATCATTGCCAGTTGTATTGAATTAATGATCTTTCTGTGCTTGAGCTCAGGCCTCTGGCCCGTGACGATCGCTATTTTCAAACTATTGGCCTCTGAGTAAATTTGATCTTCATCATCATACTGTATCAGTACCTTCACCGTTGTCTAATATTCGTTTCCTGTTTCTCAGAGCGAACTCAAGAAAGACAGAAAGCTTCTGGAATTCTTGTATGATCCATCACAGAAGAGAGCCTTCAAGCGAGGTTGGTCTTAGTTCCTTGGTTTCTTCACTTTGCACTTCTTTCTTACTTCTCTTTGCACTTTCCTTGTCTCTGTCTTTCTCCCTTATTTGTCTCACTTTCTCACTTAACTCCCTCTCTCACATATTCTCTCTCACTCCCTGTTCAATTCTCCCACTTCTCTGTTCTGTTTATCCCTCTCCACGATGTGGCTATTGGCTTATTTAGCTCATTCGTCTGTGGTTTACTCATGAAGGCTGTTTAGACACATCATCCCCTCTACATTTTTGTGCAACATTTTTGCTTATATTATTCATCTCTGCCACAATTTATGTTGGCAGCTTTATCTGCATTTTTGTAAATATTTTCATAAATTGTTTCTGATATTTTATAAACATATTTTTCATTAGTTTTCTACCAGGTTGCATTGACTTTCTTCTTGTTTTGTTTCGTTTTTTTTTCTTTTATGTGCCTGACACATTTGGTATTTTCATCAACAGCTGCCATTCAGAAGCTCCTGAAACAGAAAAACTTCTCAGAGCTGACGGTGAATTTGTTCGGTAAGTTGTCAGTTATTTCCTTCACTGTTGACTACAGTGTTGTTGATTAGAGTATGCTTATATTGACAGTAGCATCAATGCTGAGCCTCAATATCGTGTGAGCACTGATTTTTCCATGTTGTAGACTGGAAGCGACTTCAGTATATTCCTTAGGTAGGGAAAAATGTGGAGAACCCAATAACTGTGGCTTATTGTCTGTTAAGAAATCTTGCAGATTATGTCAGTGACACAGACTTCATTTATAGCATCATCTCGTTAAATTACAAAATTATAATCATGTATGTTTTCTATGTGAATGCAGGGAATGAACATAAGTGGCCTGGATTCATTACAGTGATCGAGCTAAAAAAAAAAAAATTAATGGTGTCAGATATTATCCACGCTCTGTTTGTTGCTCCATTTAACCAAGGGATTCTAAACATTCTAAAGGTTTTTAACCTGCTGCCAGCAGTATTCCATTGTCACCTTGTCTAATAGCTGTTGCAGAACCTGGTACTCATGAAACTGATGAGCATAAACTGGTCCTTTGTTGCTGCTTGATTTCCCAATTTCCTGTAAAGGGCACTAGAACAGAAAATAACTACATGTAAAATGCGCTGTCTCAATAACAACACTGTAAAAGACAGGGTTACGAATACCAGCAGTAGAGAGAAAAGTGGGATAAGACTATGTCTGGATTACATTCACAGACAAGGAATGAAATGGTTCGGCCATCTAGTGAGAATGCAGCAACATCTGGGAAGAAGACCAAGAAAGATGCGGATAAATGGTGTAGGTGGAACCTGCAAAAGATGAAACAAATTTATAACTCTAGCCACTTGAGAAGCGCAAGGCAAATACAGAAAAACCACAACACTGGGTTACAACCTGGTATCAGTGAGACGACAAAAAAAGGAAAAGATGGTTGTAAAATTTATGAATTGTTTGGTGGATGACAAAAGTATCTCATAAATTTCAAGAAGAAACAAACCCTCAAATAATTGTTTAAGTAGGGGACAAAGCAGCAATGTTAACTGAACTTGTGTGTTTGAATCCTGAAACAGTTACCTTGTCTGACAATGGGCGCATCAGCAAGACTGAGCAGGTGCTCTCCTCCTTTGGCAGGATCATGAGCGCACATAGAGGAGAAGTTCAAAGCACGGTTATCACTGCTAAGGTAATTCCAACATCAGGTACTTATTTGTTTGATATTATAGAAGCCACAGGCCTCGTGCAGTCAGACAGTGCCAGTTTTTTGTTGCACTCTGGTGTCTTATTTATAAAGCCTCTATAGTTTGTGTTGTGAAGGGGGGGATGTCCTTGCAAGGGCATAGATCTGATTTTTAACCCAGTTAGCTCCTCGTGTGAATTTCGGGGCCCCATTGGGGGAAGAGGGGTAGACCCAGTGCCTGCCTAACAAGCATGTTGTAAGAGTTGAGTAATTGGGGGTTTCCTTTGAATCTGGAGTGTGTCTGCCTCAGAGGTAAGAAATCGGTAGTTTGCATACAAAGAAGTCGGATCTGTATAACGGATGTTCATGCAAAACCCAAGTTCTGCAACAAGACTAAAATCCAGAAATGGACGAACAACCAGAACTTTTTTACGGGGATTACAGCCAAGGGGTGTGAAGAAAAAGTACCCAGTTAGCGGGATATTACCACGTTTAACAGCTTTTTTTTTTTATATTGCATAATTTCTTTTTGATTTTCTTGTTTTATTTCTACAAATGCAATTGTTCACTAGGGTATTATCATAAAGCCTCTTCTAATTCTGTGTCTTGGGATCTGCAGGGGAATATCCTCATTAAAGGTTGCCACGCCTCCAGATCTTCAGCATTATGTATTCTGGTCTGGTAGTCTTAGTTTCAGCTTCATAGGATGGGGTGTGATAAAATAAAAGAACTGACCAATTGCACATGATGGGCGATTTTGGTCAACATCACAAGGCCACCTTTACTTCTCATGACTTTACCTTTTACCCATTTAATGCTGGGTTGACTCAGAAGCCACAGTCAATTTTTTTTTAAATGGCTCTGGATTTGAACCCATGGCCCTCGAATCCACATGCAGCCAGATCTCTGTTGTCTGACTTTTCACCGTTTGCCTTTATCTGTAACCTAGAGAAAAAATTGCTTGAAAAGTCATGAAAAATATCATTGTTAGATGAATGAGTCATGGAGAAAGAAAGAAAAAAACGTCAGATATGCGACATTCTAGATGTTTCATGAATATCAGCAGTGATCCTTGTCCGCCTAGAAGTGTATGTCTGTCTGTTTGCAACGCATTTTTCTTGTACTCCAAATGTATGACACATTTTCATAGATGTAAAATTTTTCCATACATTTGAATTTAAAAGTATGTATTGTCCGTTACATGAAGACACAACTCTGAATGTAACCAGTTGTCTTGTCTGTGCAGCCACTTGATGAGGCAAGCTTGAATGAGTTGAGATCGGCGCTGCAGGGGTTCCTCAAGAAAGGGCAGTCACTCAAGCTTTACACTGAGGTAATTTCATTTGCATATTTGCAACGGTTGATTAATTTTCATGGGGCTATGGGTTTGTAGTTAATTCTCTTCCGTTGTGGGTGGATTGGGGAGTGGTCAGTGCTGCTGAATAAGGTTAATGAAGGCAGTGTTTTTTTTGGGGGGGGGATGTCAGTAACATAATTTTTACTTTTTGAGTCAGTAGTCGGTTAAGGGGGGATGAAAACTTTCAGCCAGCCATTTATATATATATATATATAATATATATGTATTACTTGTTGTACCCCTTATCTCACCATGTATGTCAATGTAAATCTCAGTGCATGTCTGTCGGGCATTCTATTTAAATACTTGTAGCATGACGATGGAGATTGCAGCTGTCACAGGCGCACGTGCATGGCTGGTGGATCAGAAAGCAAGTGGCTCATTGGTAATGGTAGACTCATTGAACATGCTCAAGATCTAAACTGGTAAACTCAAGCTCAAGAAACTATCTTGACTGTGCACATCAGGACATGCGAGGGTCAGAGACCTGACAGACTGGCCATGTCTGCAGTAGTTAGGGTCGGAAGAAGTATGGACAAATCAGACATAATGAATGAGCTGCACTCTAGAAACTTTGAGATGGAGTCAGAGGCAGTTAACCGCATAACTGGGAACGGATATTAAACAGGTCAGGCATGTAGAAACCAGTTGCGGGGCACACACAAAAAGATATGCCAGTCAACTCCTTCTTTTCTAAAGAAAAGTTTTACTTTTATCAAGTTTTCTCAATGTACTTTCTATTTATCTCCCACGTTTCCTCACTGCTGAAATTTGTTTAGTTCTCTTCATATGATCTGCAATGGTAATTTTGTTATATTATGTTAGGACTTATATTTTCCAAAGAAAGGAACCATAAGTATTTGTAGTTTATTTTGCTATTCTTGAAATGTCAATACAACAGTACTGATTTTATGTCAGATTTAAATATTGTTTAATGATAGGTTTGATTTATTTTGACTTCCACGCATTTAGATTATCGAGCTGCTCCATCAAGAGTTCACTGGATTCCACAGCCATTTTGTTTATAAGAACTCTTTTCTATTGACAGGTGGATCCATCTTTGATCGGGGGCATGCAGGTCACCATTGGGGATCGTTACGTTGACATGTCGATGGCCTCCAGGATCAAGACGTACACGGAACTGATCAAGCAGGCAGTTTAATCCTGTCAAATTTAAAGTTCTCTAGTTATGTTTTTATCATCCAGACTTACGATGGTCTAAGTGGGACGTACATAAAATCTGTCAGAATTATCACTATTACGTAGTTCTTGGTTATCACTGAAAGTTGTGCTGTGTTGTTTTGGGTGCCAGTATATGCACATTGAGTGCAGCTTGGCATAAACCAGTAAATGTTGGTCCCTGTAACAAATGTAGTAAATGGTTAAGTGAAATAGAGAAAAAAATACCCTGACAGTACATTTCTGCTCTGTAGTCAATGTTTACTGATTCACGGCTGGACAATTTAGCGATTTATTGTAATAAAGTGTGTATTATCAGCAATGCGTTCTTTTTTTATTCTGTAGTTTGTGCGTCATTGTACATGTGGTCAAAAGAGAAGCAGCCCAGCTACCACTCACCCTATCCCATTTGGCTGCGTGATTTCATATTGGTTCCCACAGGCTGTCCTGTGTTCTAGGGGTGTCATGTATTGATTGTTTTAAGTACATCCACCACCGATGACAGCCACCGCCAGTGAGCGTAAAAATATAAAAACATCGATTCTATGCTCACGGATCATCACACCTACAGTGTTTCCCCCTGCAAAACTTCTTCCTGCGAGAAGTAAGTTGTGCATAGATAGCAAAGGAAATCTTATAATATCCCAAAAACACAGAATAGCCCTTAAAAATCAGTAAGAAATCACACAGCCGAAGGAGTTGGGGGTGAGAATCCTGAGTTGTACCTCAGCCCATAATTATGATGAAAGTGGAAATAAAGAGTCCCTGGGAACCCCCATGTCAGATACTCTCTCAGTGCTCATACTTTACTGCAACATCAAGGGGAGCAGAGTAGATGAGTCGTCAGATGCTGATGGAAGTGCATTTGATTTTATTCTATACATTCAACTTTACACTCACTAGCTTCGATGGCTTGTATAATTGTGGCTCAGTTAATAAAACCTATTCATATGTGTAGGCTGTAAAATGCATGTCAAATATCTACTCAGGCGTGCATGCATAAAATGAGTGCCCAAAATCTACTTGGAAGAAGAAGAAAGAAGACTTGGATAGACATGTTGAATAAATGCAAAAAAAATCTTTAGAGAAAATGCCAAAACTACCTACATGTTGAGTGAGCATCTGGCTTTAACAGACAAATCATTGATTGCTTCAATCGCAAACTCTTGATTATTTCTTTCATTTTCCATGGAAGCATAGGCAATCTGACAACTCACCCCCAGCCCAGTTTGTGACCATTGTATTTGCTGCCTACATTTTCTGTGTTTTTAATAGGGGGGGGGGGGGGCACAGTCACTGCTCCCAAATGCATCTCATGAAAGGTGACGACTAATTAGGTGTCTTTTCTTTAAAGTCAGAGTGCAGGTATCTGAGAGGTTAGGAACCAACACTCTGCATACAAATAAACTAGATCTGTAAAACAGATGTGCATGCAAAACTCAAGTTCTGGAACAAAACTGAAGTAGAGAGTTTTCAGTGGCTAAAAAGTGTAATGAAAACCTATAGTCGCCTAAAGTGTCATGTATAGCAGTTGACATTGGGACAAGAGTAGGTTTATATAGCAACTCCGGGACAAGAGTGGGTTAATAATATATATTAACTGTGACAAGAGTGAGTCTTTATGGCAACTCTTAGACAAAAAAGGATTTATGTGGCAACCCCTGAGACATGAGGATTTAAATAGTAAGAATGGGACAAAACGCGTCGTCAGTTAAGCGACAGTCTTGAAGGGAGTATAACTGGTCATCTCAACCCTAATCCATAAAGTTTAAACTGGTATATGTGAGGTTTTCAAGTCTGCTGCGTCACTAGCCACGGCGTTGCACATACTCCATAGATCCAGTAACAGCCCGTGATTACTGAAGCACGTATTCCCAAACCAAACAACACAGTCCCAACACGACACTATATGCAAACTGTGTACATCGAGTGAACACTTAATTCCTGTGTGTTTGTCGCGTGTGCCCCAGCGCAATGATTCGCCCAAGATCCATGATGCTGTTAAGACGTCTTGGTGAGATTTGGGGCGGGAGAGACACCAACATCTTGTATTTAGAGCATCAAGTGGTCTTAATACTCAAAATTTTAAAACTGTAAATGGTGGTCCAAAGAACGTTGTGTGGAAAAGTGCGCCCCCCTACGAAATACGCCTCTTTATTCAATTAAAAGTTCTATCCAGTTTCGTCCTTTTTTAGGACGAAATTTTTTGTTATTTGAAGCCCCACCCTGGCTTTTGCCAGGGGCCGCAATAAAGGCAGGCCATAAATATGGCCAATTGTCTGAACGCGGTTTCTGGGACCTCTCCACGGCGATCCTCATCCGCATGGTGGCACTTTGTGTCATCGGGGGTTTATCGCTTGTGTGATGTCCTAGTGGGGTAGAAAGTCAGTCAGTCAGTTACGAAATACGCCTGGCCAAATCAAAGGGAAACAACGCAAACTGGAAACACTAAGTAAGACGAGGGAAGACATGCACAACTAACAACAGGGTGGAGGACGAGCGGTCTGATTCGGACGGAAGTATCAAGCCCAGAAATGGCACAAACACTAGAATTCAGTCACGAAAGTAACGCAAATAACCCAGACCACAAATATAGACAGAGACTGCTAGCTTTTCTTTTTTTTTTCTCAAAAGGACTTGGACTTAATTCGGCTCTCTCTGGCAGGGTGTATGACTGTAGACTTTTTGAAATTATTTGCGAACTGTAATGAAAATTGTTTATTACGCCAAGTTTCAAGCACCATGCAACTGTTAATTTATAATACCACTGCTATATACTGGTGTTTGAGCAAACTATCTTAGCTATAATAGTGTTTACTAAAAGAAATATTATTTTTTGTTGAGCGTGTGTTCCTTAAGGGTGGCAGGTATTCGAATGTGGTTGTTCAACAATTTATGATGTCATTTCCTGATACACACGCGCCTCATCATAATACTGTTAGCAGTCCAATCACTAGAATTGACTATGACTAGAGTAGTTGGATGGAAAACAACACCCAAATAAGACACACTATAGCAGTGTAATAATTCCAGACACGTGATTACGCAGATAGGAACGGCAATATTTAAAAATTAACGATTTAATAAATACTAGTAATTACAGAAGCGTAGTTAGAAAAAGAATAAATCAGGGAACATCAAAACCATTTAAAGTAACATCTGGAGTAAGACAGGATTGTGTCTTGTCTTATCACCACTCATGTTTATCACCTATATTGACAGTATAAGCGGGAATGCAAGACCCAGGAACGAAAATAATAGTAGCATCAACGAAATATCTTGGAACAATATTCAATGAAGATGGTAAATTGGACGAAGAAATTGACATCCGATGCAGTAAAGCTGGCCAAGTATTGGACAGCTAGCTCACTCTTATCCTTACGCCCTCTTTAGGACGAATTTTTTTTTTCATTTGAAGCCCCACCCTGGCTTTTGCCAGGGGCCGCAATATAGGCAGGCCATAAATATGGCCAATTGTCTGAAAGCGGTTTCTGGGACCTCTCCACGGCGATCCTCATCCACATGGTGGCACTTTGTGTCATCGGGTGTTTATCGCTTGTGTGATGTCCTGGTGGGGTAGAAAGTCAGTCAGCTCCCCTTTTACAGCAAAAGGCAATCCCAGTCAGCACTAAGAGATATCTCATACAAAGCATATCCATTCCCAACTTATGTTACCAGTGTCAGACGTGGTCACTCACAATAAAATATAAAATACAATTAGTAGTCATAGAAATGAGATGTCTGAAAAAGACTAGGAGTGACCAGAAGAGATAAAATCAGGAACGAGGTCATACGAGATAAAGTCGGGACAGAACCAATTCTAAATTACATACAAGGACAGCAAATCGAATGGTTTGCACACTTGCAGAGAAAGTCTTCTGATGCTATACTATCTTGGTAATTTTGGTAATCTTAGTTTCAGCTTCATAGCAAACAGGTCACCCTATAATTGCTCCGCTCCTGTGCCAACGAAAACACACATAATGTTTATCACAGTACCTTGTGGAAAGATTGACAGACTGCTGTCTCAGCATATGCACTAGCATACAAACGCATTAAAAGCTTAAGGTAGTCATTTAAAGTGCTAACACACAGTCCGACATTAGAAATAAACTTCATCGTTGATGGTAGCAGAAGTCACCAACAGATCAGCAGTTGCACACGCGATCAATTTTAATCACATAATGACACCACCAATATTGCGACAACAGGCATCGCCATTTTCTGAATCTACAATTCATACCACCACGTTGGTCACAGTCGAAAAACATTTCAAATGAAATCCACAGCTCACAGTGTCACGCCATGCACTCAACTCAGAAGCTGTGCAACGGCCACCGTCTGGTAGAAGCAAACAATTTGCCCTGACTCAGAACAGTGACAGTGCCTAGCATCCATTTTGACCGGAAGACTCCGATACAAGGCATATACCAAAAGAGGAGAGGGACGTAGAACAAGAGGCAGACCAAGAATAACATGGAAAAATAACATCAGAGCAACTCTACAGCCCCACGATGTGTCAATGGTTGAAGCAGCCAGAAGCGCACGTAACAGGACCTTATATCTCCCCCGACACATGAAGCGACAAAAGAGGACGTACAGAAGAAGAAGAGAAGAATATTTAATATATATATATATATATATATATATATATATATATATATATATATATATATATATATATATATATATATATATATATATATATATATAGTAGGGCTGTACCGAATAGTGATTTTCACTATTCGGCCGAATACGAATAGCTGGACCCACTATTCGGCCGAATACGAATACGAATATGAATAGTGAATCATCATCATCATGTACTTTGCCGGCTGGCATGGTCTATTATGCCTCGCTACAATCTGCGATCTCCTGCAGCACGTATTAGTTCGTGTGCTGACACACCTCCATGAAAAAAACTTCGTTCCATGTTGTCAGCATTTTTGTCTCACTGAGGGTATTTCCAGCTGTACTAAACAG